GGAAGGAAGGAAGGAAGGAAGGAAGGAAGGAAGGAAGGAAGGAAGGAAGGAAGGAAGGAGGTGATATACTAACAACAACACATAGCTATATCCACACTTTGTGCCCTGGTAATAATAATAATAATTCTGGGAGATAATTATAATTGTAATTGTTAGTAATAATAATAATAATAATAATAATAATAATAATAATAATAAAGTTGGAAGGGACCTTGGAGGTCATCTAGTCCAACCCCCTGCTCAGGCAGGAAACCCTATACCATTTCGGACAAATGGCTGTCCAGTCTCTTCTTAAAAACATCCAGCGTTGGAGCATTCACCGCTTCTGGAGGCAGGTGGTTCCACTGGTTAATTGTTCTCACTGTCAGGAAGTTTCTCCTTAGTTCCAGGTTGCTTCTCTCCTTGCTTAGTTTCCATCCGTTGCTTCTTGTCCTGCCTTCAGGCGCCTTGGAGAATAGCTTGACTCCCTCTTCTTTGTTGCAGCCCCTGAGAGATTGGGACACTGCTATCATGTCCCCCCCCCCCCTCGTCGTTCTCTTCATTAAACTATACCAGTGGTGGCGAACCTATGGCACGGGTGCCAGAGCCCTCTTTGTGGGCACACGTGCTGTCGCCCCAGTCCTAGCCCTTCAGCTGGGTTTTATAAAAGCTTTTCGCTTTAGGCCTCCACCGCCACGTGCAAAAAATAAAAGGTTCAATCAGTCAGTCAATTTCAACTTCTCGCGGAGAAAAAAAAAGATTTTGCAAAGTTGGAATTGATTGATTGATCTTTTTAATCCCACCCAGTCTGCCGTTACCACCGCAGCCACGCCCACCCAATGGGCCACACCCACCCGGCACCCGATGATGCATAAGTGGGTTTTGGGTTGCAGTTTGGGCACTCGGTCTCTAAAAGGTTCGCCATCACTGAACTAGACATACCCAATTCCAGCAGCCGTTCCTTATATGCTTTAGCCTCCAGTCCCCTAATCATCTCTGTTGCTCTTCTCTGCACTCTTTCTAGAGTCTCAACATCTGTTTTACATTGCGGTGACCAAAACTGGATGCAGTATTCCAAGGGTGGCCTTACCAAGGCATTGAAGAGTGGTATTAACACTTCACATGATCTTGATTCTAGTCCTCTGTTAATACAGCCTAGCACTGTGTTGGCTTTTTTGGCAGCTGCAGCACATGGCTGGCTCATATTTAGGTGATTGTCCACTAGGACTCTGAGGTCCCTCTCACAGTTACTACTATTGAGCAAGGTACCTCCTAGACTATACCTGTGCATTTGGTTTATCTTGCCTAAATGTAGAACCTTACTTTTTTCACCATTGAATTTCATTTTGTTAGATAGCGCCCAGTGTTCACGTCTGTCCAGATCCTCCAGTATCTTTTTTTTTATTAAGAAGTTTTTATTTTCCATTTATTCATACAAAATACAATTCAATTAAAATAAATTCCTAACCATTGGTACCACCTGCCCATTCCCCCCCAGGCTGCGTCCACCCTCTCTAAACCTTCCCTACTTCCCTCCTCTTTCTGTCCTCCCCTCCTACTCTTTTCCCCTCCCCTTCTCCTCTAACCATCCTACTTCCTCCCTACTCCTTCCTCCCCTCTCATCCCTCTCACACACATGAACCCAGCATAGGGGAAATGCCCAAGCATTTACTATGACTATATTACCCACCCACTCACTCACCCACCCACCCTCAACCCTCCCCCCCTCGCTTCCCAGAGCAGAGTACAGGGTTATTAATAAGAAAGTTAACAATAATTAAAAAAAGAAAAAAAAGAAAGAAAAAAGAAAAAAAGGGGGAAAAAAACCATCATACTTAACCTTTAACTCCCCTTAAATTAAGTCATATAAACAAATCTCTACAACGGTTACTAAAAAATTTACTCATAAAATAAATGAAACTTTATAGTCCCATATATTTTCTGAATATAATCTATCCATCTTCTCCATACAATAATATATCTTTCTTGTGTATGATCCTTCAAATAAGCAGAAGTTTTTGCCATTTCTGCAAAGTTAGAAACTTTAAATATCCATTCTTCTAAAGTAGGCAACGAGTCCTTCTTCCAATACGAGCCTGCTAATAACCTTGCTGCAGTTAATAAATTCAACATTAAAGTAGTTTCTTTGTCATTTAAATCCACAGAGATACCCAATAGGAATAATTGAGGGGTGAACTTTATCTTCCTTTTAAAAATCTTTTGAATGTTCCACCAAATCATAATCCAAAAAGCCTTTACCTTTTTACAATTCCACCAAACATGAAAATATGTCGCATCCATATTGCCAGATCTCCAACATTTGGGTTGTAAATGCTGTCTACTCCACATTTTTCAGCGTAGACTTGAGGGCCTCAGTGCAGGACACAATTAATGTTCTGGGCAAGATCTGTATAATTTGTACATATTTTAATCCTTATGACCATTCTTCACCCTTATGGCTGTTGCAGCATCCCCATGCTCACGTGATGACTCGTACCTATGACGGTTGCAGAGTCCTGGGATCATGTGATCCATTTTGTGACCTTCTGACATGCCAAGTCAATGGGGGAAGCCAGATTCACTTAACAACCAGGTTACTCAACAACTGCAGTGATTCGCTTAATAACTGTGGTAAGACAGGTTGTAAAATGAGGCAAAACTCACTTAACAGATGACTCACTTAACAACATATATTTTGGGCTCAATTGTGGTCGTACGTGGAGCACTATTTGTGTGGACTTACCAAGGCATTATAAAGCGGTATTAACACTTCACGTGTCCTTGATTCTATCACGCCATTAATGCATTTCAAGAACAGAATAACAGAATTGGAAGGGAACTTGGAGGTCATCTAGTCCAGGGCTTGCCAACCAGTGGTATAGGTACCACCTGGGGTATGTTGGCACCTGGCAGGTGGTACGCGACCATCCTAGAAAAGTGGTAGCAGGGGAGGGGAATGAGCTGAACCGGTGGCAGCACCGCACAAGCCTGAGCGAGAGACGGCTGGAGCTGCAGGGCTGTCAGGGCTCAGCGGAAGCCCCAGGATCAGTGCTGCTTTCCAGCTGATCGGCGCTTCTTCGGGGCTGTCACGGCTCAGCGGAAGCGCCAGGATCAGCGCCAGGCTCCAGCTGGAGCTCTGCGCTGATCCTGGTGCTTCTGCTGAGCCCAGAAGAAGCGCCGATCAGCTGGAATGTTGCTGCATCTCCAGGGTCTTGTGATTTGCATTCAGATGCGTGGCAACTGATTCATATTTATGACGGTCAGAGTGTCCCAAGGTCAGTTGAAGTGACCAAAACCTGCTGCAACCACCCAGCAGACGGGGGGAATAAAAACCAAGCACCCCCACCCCACCCCTGCTGCCAATCCTCAACAGAAATGCTCACAACCATGAAAACCTCGGACAGGAGGAAGAGCACCGCTGGGCGGGCAGGGAGGTGTCTTGTTCGGCTGTGGCTTGGGGGGCACTTTTTTCAGTGCCATTTTAACTTCAAACAGTCACTAAGCGCATTGTTGTAAGTCGAGGACTACTTGTACTTTATCACTTTTTTCTTTTTCTTTTTCTTGGTCATCAAGTTTTTGACACCTTGCTAGGTGACTAGTGCTACTCAGATGTTGCCATACCCTAAAAGTGGTACAATGGGTGAAAAGGTTGAAAAGTCCAACCCACTATTCAAGCCGGAGACCTTATTCCATTCTGAACAAATGGCTGTCCAAACACTTCTTAAAATCCTTTTAAAAATGATCAGAAAAACGAAGATCCCTCAAGCCCTCATATCACTGGAATATGAGCCAGCAGGGTGCTGCAGCTGCCAAAAAAGCCAAGGCAATCCGAGGCTGCGTGTCTAGGGCGATTCTCCATCCTCCAGAGCGTGATTGTCCCACAGGTGGACTTTCCTGTTTTTCTAACCAGAGGCTGCATTAACAGGGATTTGGGGCCTGTCTCCGTGGGCGCCCAATGCCAGGTCAAAACCTCTGAGCGGGCGTTCATCCAAGCCTTGTGCAGTTTCCCGATCTCCTCCATCGCATCAGGGAACAGCAGTCCACTCTGTTCTTTCTGGAAAGATGCTTTCCATGCTTCCTCAGTCATTTATGGAGCGTGGGAAGCGCTGACTGGGCGATGCGATCATTGGTCCCATCTGATTCCCTTTTGGGGTCAATTAGAATAGAGCTGGAAGGGATCTTGGAGGTCTTCTAGTCCAACCTCCTGCTCAAGCAGGAGATCCTTTCAGATAGGTGGCTGTCCAGTCTTTTCTTAAAAGCCTCCAGTGATGGAGCACGCACAACTTCTGGGGACAAGCTGTCCCGCTGGTTCATTCCCCTCACTGTGGGGAAGTTTCTCCTTAATTCCAGGTTGCTTTTTTCCTGGATTCTTTTCCATTCACTCCTTCTTGTCCCGCCCTCTGACCCTTTGGAGAACAGGTCGAGACCCTCTTCTCTGTGGCAGCCCCTCAAATACTGAAATACAGCCATCATGTCCCCCTTAATCCTTCTTTTCTCTAGACTAGCCAAACCCATATCGTGCAACCGTTCTTCACGTTTTTTGTCTGCAGGCCTTTGAGTTGTTCTTCTCTGCACTTTTTCCAAAATCTCAACAACTTTTTTGTAACGTGGTGACCAAAACTGGATGCCACATTCTCCAGAAGCCCCCCAATCACCCTTGTTGCTCTTCGTTGAGCAGTAACTCCTCATTCCCCCCTCCCACGACGTCAGTCTAACCTCAGCTGGGGAGAGGGGGGACCAAGGGGATGGGGAGGTGGCGAGAACCTGGGCAGGGGAGACAGGCCAGCCACAGGGGCGGGGCTTCTGGGGAATGGGCGTGGCCTCTGCACAGGTAAGATCCCCTGCCACCTGAGGCTCCAGCAGAGCGTTGTGGTCCAGGCTGACTGTTGGGATTACTCGCTTTGCATCCGTGCCTGCCAGATTCCCTCTCTCTCTCTCTCTCTCTCTCTCTCTCTCTCTCTCTCTCTCTCTCTCTCTCTCTCTCTCTCTCTCTCTCTCTCTCTCTCTCTCTCTCTCTCTCGACAGCCCCATGATGCACTCCCAGATGCCAGTCCGGTCCCTTCTCTGCGCCCTCCTGATGCTGCCTCTGGGGGTGCCCAACGATCTTGTCAGCCTGCGCCTCTCAGATGTGAAGGTGCAGCAGGCTGCGGCCTTTGCCGTGGAGCAATACAACAAGGGCCGATCAGACACTCTCACCTATTTTAAAAAGCTGCGAGTTGTGTACGCCGGTTCACCGGTGTGTATCTGGGGCTAGGAGGGAGTTTTTCCGGGGATGGGGGGGGCAGCCTTGGAGTAGCCAAACGATTCGGAGTTACTCGAAGGTACAGTGGAAGGGAATTGAGGGAGGGGAGGCAGTTTGGGGGGGGGAGTCTTCCCAGGAAGGTACTGTGGATCGTAGACAGGAGGGGCCTGACTCTTTATACCTGAACAGTTATTGCAGAAGTGTGTCTGGGGGGGGGGAGTTGGGGGGGGGCAGCCTCGTTGTGTCCGTGAAGCAGGCAAAGGACTTGGGATTGCTCTGTAAACAATAGAAGGGTTTGCGGGGGCTGGGGGGAGCTGAGGGGGTGCTCTATGGGTGGGACTGTTATCCTGGACGCCAAGGACATGGTTTTCTGCCGTTGGTATCCGATGCAGAAATATTTCCTCTTGAACTGATGTTTTTGCTGCTCTCGAGGCATAACGTCCCTTTCCGCTTTGCAACCCCCGAGGCTGATCATGTTTTCCAATGAATTAAAAGGTGATGCTACTTATTTTAAAATCCAGGTGAATTTTCCCAACGTGTACCTTTTTACTGCCGTGTTGGTGGAAACTACATGTATAAGGTTACCCGGTACCACAATGGCATATAGGAAGATCCAGCAATGTCCTCAATTTGCAGGCAATCGGCAGGTGAGTTGAGATGCCAAATTCCGATCATATATTTGCAGTTTCATTGATAAAAAAAACCTGCCTGGTCTGAGCTCAGCAGCCCCCTCTGTAAAGCAGATTTCAATTATTTTCATGGATGATTTCAATTCAAAAGACTAGAAGTGATCTGATGATCGTGTTTGCTATATGAGGGGCTGCCCCAAAGAAGACGGGGTGGGGGGGTCACCTATTCTCCAAAGCACCTGCAGGCAGGAGAAGAAGCAACGGATGGAAACTCATCAAGGAGAGAAGCAACCTGGAATTAAGGAGACATTTCCTGTCAGTGAGAACAATTAACCAGCGGAACAGCTTGCAACTAGAAGTTGTGGGTGCTGCGTCGCTGGAGGCTTTTAAGAGATTGGTCAAACGTTTGTCTAAAATGGCTCAGGGTCTCCTGCCTGAGCAGGGGGTTGGACTAGAAGACCTCTAGAGTCCGTTCCAATGCTGTTTTTCTTTTCATTCCCTTCCAGGTAATCTGCTACTTTAAAATCACATCCTATCATGGGGATACTATGAGCTACGACGAGCAAATCTGCAATGAGTCTCACTCAAATTGGTCATAGAGTCTCTAAATTCGCATTTTCTGAGTTTCTGAAATTGTTCCTTGACATACACGGAGGCCTTTCCTGGCGCTTCTGTTTTCTCTAATTTTCATCTTTGAGAAGAATCGACATTTTGCTCATTCAGTCAATTAGTCTTAATAAAGCGATCATCATGGCATTCCGTCTTGTCTTCCTTTCTTGTCCAAATCCCATCCAGCCTTTCCGTTTTCACGGCGACAGCACAATGACACCATGGCTTGTTCAAGAAAGCCTCCAGCCATTTGGGGTACTTTCCAAACTTCTGGAAACTTTGATCCGTTTGAGAGTTTTCAAGAAGTGCAATTAAGATTTTTAACAGAATTAATACTGCTTCTTTCCCAAACTCTACTCCAATTGGCATATTATGCCAGTGAATATACCTCGCTCCTTGGGGACATAGAATACGAGGGATGGAGGGAGGGAGGAAAGGATAGGTCGAAAGGAAATGGGGAGGGAGGGAGGGACGGAGGGAAGGAAATGAATATGCCTTGCCCATTGGTGATAATTACCAGGAGAACTTCAAAGGTATAGAATACAAGAGGGAGGGAGGGAGGAGGGGAGGGAGGCAGGAAGGAAGGAAGGAAGGAAGGGAGGGAGGGAGGGAGGGAGGAAGGAAGGGAGGGAGGGAGGGAGGGAGGGAGGAAGGAAGGGAGGGAGGGAGGGAAGATGGAGGGGGGAGGGAGGGAGGGAGGGAGGGAGGAAGGAGGAAGAAGGAGGAGGAGGAGGAAGGAAGAAGGAACAAGGAAGGAAGGAAGGAAGGAAGGAAGGAAGGAGTGATCTACTAACACACACCTAGCTATATCCCACACTTTGTCCCTGGTAATAATAATAATATTCTGGAGATAATTATAATTTAATTGTTAGTAATAATATAATACATAATATCATAATAATAAATAATAATAAGCCCGCCAGTGAGGCACTACCTTGACGTGGTTGTGGGGCTTGTGTACTCTGAGGAAGATGAGAGCTATGCCAGAGGTTCAACCATACTGGACAGGTCTCATCAGAGGAGTCAGACAAAGAGTTTCTCTCCCATAAAAAATATGGTGAGACGTAAATTTCAGAATGCCATACCGGCTCGGACGTCGCCCGGGTTAACAAGGTCCGCGCTAGATATCGGAGTTCCTGGATATCTGGTGAAAAATGGGTTACAGGACTCAGGACTGTTGGCTGAGCAACCAGCGCCAGCAGCTGCAGAACTACTGGAAGAAAAGGTGTTTACCAGTCGCAGATACACAGTGATGGAAAACAAAGAAATAATGATCTGTTACTACAGATCAAGTCCAACAAGAAGAGGATATCTAAAACGAATGCACCAGTTCTGGAAAGAACAACATCCATAATCAGAAATAACAGAACAGAGACTAGCAGATCAACGCCGATTTATAACACGAAATAAAGTATTCACAGAAACAGAATTGGACGAACTGCAAAGGTTTACCCAGGGCAAAGAAATCAAGAAAGCAAAGCCTTACCAGAAGTAATTCAGAATGTAGAGGCAAACCAGGGGGAGTTGGCAGTGAAGGAATCCAGCAGAGATATACAACTGTTCTCAGTTGGAAACCAGGCACCTCTTCCTCAGGAAGAACAAAACCCTCTAACTAAAGAAATAAAAGAATTGAAACAAAGAATAACTGAGCATCTAGAACAGCACAAAAACAACAGAATAAGGCTACCTGCATTGAAGCTTGTTCCAAAGAAACAGCTAGCACAAGCATTAAAAGAAGCAAATACTGCAATATCAAGTATAAGCACCAATTCACTGCAAGAAACAAACCAACTAATGTACAGCACAGCTGCAGTTATAACTGAATACCTGGGATGCAAAATCAACAAAGAAGAAAAACAAACAAACAGTGCACCACAAAAATGGAAGGTTAGACTAGAAATAAGATCAGCAAGTTAAGATCACATGCAAGCAAGCTAGAACAGATGAAAGAAAAGAAGCTGAAGAACAAGAAGACCAAAGAATACCTAATCAAGAAATACCACTTAGAAACAAGGAAGATCAAGGAACCACTGGAAATAATAAAGCAACAAATAACAGCTATAGCCAGGAAAAATCAGTAGATATGAAGCTCGAATTGCAAACTATAGGCAGAACCTCCAATTTCAATCCAATCAGAACCGTTTCTACCAATCCATCAATGGAGAAACTGCAAAGAATCAGTCAGTACCTGACAAGGAAGAAACAGTGCAGTTCTGGAAGCAGATATGGGATAACCCAAAGAAATACAACAAGGATGCAGCTTGGTTAAAAGAGATGGATGCAAATAAAACAGAAGTTGAAATGAAAGAACTAGTAATAACAACGAAAATGGTAGAAAAAAGAGCAAAGAAAATCAAAAATTGGTCAGCACCAGCACCACAACTGCATGGGTTTTGGTTGAAACATCTAACTGTTATACACCCACTCATTGCCAAGCAATTCAACAATATACTACAAGGAGGAGAAATTGAAAAGTGGATAACAACTGGGAAAACCTACATAATAATGAAAAATCCAGCAAAAGGGGCAACACCAGGTAACTACAGGCCAATTACCTGCTTACCAACAACTTTCAAATTACTAA